CACACAACAGCCAGAATCACATGGAGGGCGAGTGACTAGAGAGGCACAACAGCCAGAATCACATGGAGGGCGGGTGACTAGAGAGGAACAAAAGCCAGAATTACATGGAGGGCGGGTGACTAGGGAGACACTACAGGCAAGAATCACATGGAGGGCGGGTGACTAGGGACACACAACAGCCAGAATCACATGGAGGGCGAGTGACTAGAGAGGCACAACAGCCAGAATCACATGGAGGGCGGGTGACTAGAGTGGCACAACAGCCAGAATTACATGGAGGGCGGGTGACTAGGGAGACACTACAGGCAAGAATCACATGGAGGGCGGGTGACTTGGGACACACAATAGGCAAGAATCACATGGAGGGCGGGTGACTAGGGAGACACTACAGGCAAGAATCACATGGAGGGCGGGTAACTAGGGACACACAACAGGCAAGAATCACATGGAAGGCGGGTGACTAGGGACACATAACAGGTTAGAATCACATGGAGGGCGGGTGACTAGGAAGACACAACAGCGAGGATCACAGAGAGGCGGGTGACTAGGGAGACACAACAGTCAAGATCACAAGGAGGTGGATGACTCGGGAGAAGCAATAGCCAGAATCACATTGAGGGCGGGTGACTAAGAAGACACAACAACCAAGATCACAGAAAAGTGGGTGACAAGGGAGAAGCAACAGTACGGATCACGGGGAGGCGGGTGACTAGGGAGACACAACAGCCAGGATCACATGGAGAGCGGGTGACTAGGGAGACACAACAGCCAGGATCATAGGGAGGCGGTGACTAGGGAGACATAACAGCCAGTATCATAGGGAGGCGGTGACTAGGGAGACACTGCGGAAAAAAGAGTAGAAAAACAAGAAAAAGAACAGATTTTGATCTCAGGTGTTTCAATTGAGGCAGCGGATCAGTTTGGGGTTTTTCGATGTCCCCTTTGCAGCAGACACACACAAAACATCAATTCTGCAGAAGGTCCCACATGAGTCGTATTACGACATGCTTTTGGGGTAAGAGAAGGTATCCACTTTCCCAAACTTGAGGGTATACGATAACGGGAACTGCACTTACGGGTATCACGAAATGGATACCACCGTTATGTCTAAGACTGTTTTGTTTCGGTGTACATTATATGAGAGATACCATATGAACCCGAGAAATTGTTACAGTATAGCTATATTTGGACATAACCCGATGTTTTACATCAGTATAGCTATATTTGGCCATAACCCGATGTTTTACAGAGTTTAAATCAAAGTTTTTAGGGTTTTAAATCAACTTTCGGTAAAAGAGTCAACACCAATAATGGTATATACGTGAAAGGTTGAAAGCTCCTGAAGACCGACACTGTTTACAATATACTCACCTTTTGCACTTTGTGGAAGGTATGATTGTAGAACCAGGCGGGGTAGTTTCCTTGAAGGTGGGCAATGGGAGTGAAGGGGTGGAACGATTCTCGGCCATTTATGTCCAGAGAGTCCCCGACTTTGATTTCTAGTCTTTGCATACACTTGCCTATCTCTGCGTCCTCTGCACCACCGTCACGACGACACAGTAGCGGATTACGGAGACCTACTTGCACAAATTTCTTTAATGCCTGCTGGCTGAGAACATAACCAGCACCCCCACTGAAATATCCCTGTTTCACTATGGCCTTGAACCGGTGACCGAAATATACCAAATTCTGCGGATTGTGATGTGATAGGAAGTAGCGCAAGTTCTCTACAATGACGTAGGTATCGTCATCCGCCTTGAGGAACCAATCGAAGGAATTGCCGTAGTTTTCGTAGCAGTAAGTAAACGCTTGTACCGTTTTACCTGTGAGGTGCTGGCGACCCTCGGAAACATTGAGTCCGACAGTGGGGAAACTGTCGTTCGTCACACTACTGAAGAATATGTACTTATTGCAGCGTTTAGCCCAGGTTGTTCTGACGGCCAGACCCTTTCTGTCCAGATTAGACGGTGACGTCATTATCCAGCACAGCACGCGAACTCTGTTATACATTTCATTGGCCTTGGTTCTGTCATCGTCTACAACAAAACAACACAAAATAATATCAAGAATGAAATAATTCTATCATTTAATATACTTGTAGGTCATCATCTACAACACATACCATATACAAGTACGAAATCATTCCATGATTTCATTTCTTTTGAAGAGAGACCTGAATTCTTGAAAGAGGAGGGAATGTGTATGGAAAAGACAGCTAAATTCACTAAAAGTGTAACAACATTACACAGAATGTCAGTGTGGAGCAAGCCAGCTGGCCTGATACTGGACAGTAGATTTCCTAAGACACCCAGACAATGACCTTCCAAAACGTATTAACAGAAGTATCCCTAGACGCCATGACATTGATATTCTTCATTTCATTTCATCATATTTTATTGAGTAAACAAAAGGATTGAACAGCAGTCTATGCCTATATAAGTTCTCTCCTTAGGTTGACATGACAAAGACAAAGATGAATGAAATGGTTTGTAAGAAAATATTGATGCAAATTATATATAATAAGTAGCATAGACATACATATAGCAGATGGTATAGGGGAGATAATTCCATGTATGTTTCAATTACATATAAATATTTAATTGATATTTTAGCTATACAATGCTTTTATTAAAAAGTCAATCATATTTAATTAGTAATAGGAATGCAATGCCCTAATGATATATTAAACAGAGAAATTGCTACAATTGTATTTTTATTTTTTTGCAAGTCATTAATGCCCCCTGTTCATACCCTGCTGCTGTTGCTTGAAGTAGTTAAAAGTATAGAACCATTTAGTATCAATATATATATCATTGGTAGGAGTGATAAAAAGTAAGGGATACAACAACATCAAAATATGAAAAATAAAATGAGGCAATTCACCTAGAAGATTTTGAAAATGTAGTGTAAGTGTAAGATGTATTGCCAGTGTTCTATGTGTAAATCTTTCATCCCATCCAGTTTCAGACAGGCCTCTACCGTTCACCTATCAACCACAGAACACTAAGCATTCAAACTTAGCACATTTATGTTTTACTTTATTGCACCCAGCAGTAAAAACAGCACCCAAAGCTTAATCCTTTAGGTGTATAATATTAAAGCATCAATGTATATATAACAATCAGCAGAATCACTTAATGGTTTAGGGACAGTATTTTATCAGTTATGACTATATATAACAAAATTTATAGATTGTTTTGATTAATTAAACAAGCCTTCTCGTGTTGTATATATATTTAAGAACACTATCAAGTACAGATTTATTTTCAGTATTGTTTAACATAGTGCTTCCATTAAGAAGTATTTTAGTATCAAGATTAACCGGACACACTTCAAAAATCTTATTTATTAAAGTTTGTCTCTCATCAGTATACAGTGGACATTGAGAAAGATCATGTGTAGCAGTTTCATAAGCATCACCACACAGACATGATGGAGACTCTTTCAAGTGATCTTTGAACAGATCATAGTTCAGGTTACTCGCCTCATTTCTCAGTTGACATAAGATTATGTTACCCTTTCTGCTTTCACAATTTTTAAATACATCCGAGATATCATTATTAAAACATAATTTATGATATACCTTGGCCTTAAATTTATTAAGAGTAGGGGAATGTACTGTATCATTTTCAAGTCCATTGAACTTGTTGCACATTACTGGGAAGAAACTTTTAGCATAGGATTCTGTACGACATAGTGGTGGGTTAAACATTCTTACATATCTTAGAGTATACCTATCATTTTCTTGGTTATGAATAAGAGGATCAATTATGTCATGGAGGTATGTGGGTGATAAATTGTTAGTTATTTTATACATCTGAGTTAGCTTATGGTTCATCCTTCGATCAGACAGGGATTCCCAACCTAGTTCTTTATATAGAGTTTGGTGTGATGTACCTTTCCTTAGACCTGTGATAATCCTTGCAGCTTCTAGTTGTACAGATTCTAATAATTTTTTAAGATTGTCAGAGCAGTTGTCCCAGACAATATCTGCATATTCAAGCACTGGGCGGATAAATGTTGTATATATTTTGCATAGTGATTTCCTATCAATCTTATATTTCAGATACCTAAGTATTGTTATTCTTTTACTAGCCTTTTCATATATTAATTGAACATGGGTAGACCAAGTGCCATCTTCAGAAAAAGTTAATCCAAGATGTTTGTGATCATGGGCATTATCTACACAAGTATTAGAGAAATTAATTAGAGGATGGATAGGTTCTTTTTTTCTAGAAAAAATTAATGATTTGGTTTTAGAGGGGTTAAATTTAATGTCCCATGTACTAGCCCAGTTGTTAATTCTATCTAGGTCTTGGTTAAGATAATCTGCTGCTAGTTGTGGGTTTTCGTCTACGATGACATATAATGATGAATCGTCTGCAAACAGCTTAATGTTACTCTGGACTATATCAGTGATGTCATTAATGTATAATAGAAATAAAAAGGACCGAGAACTGATCCCTGAGGAACACCGGCATTAACAACCCTAAAAGTAGAAAAATGACCTTCAGTTAGAACTCTCTGCTTTCTATCTTCAAGATAATTCTTAAACCAATTAAAAACATTGCCTGATATACCATATGCTTTTAGTTTATGTACATGTAGTAACCCTTTGTGCCAAACTCCATCAAAAGCCTTGCTGATGTCGCAAAATACAAACCTTAATTCTTTCCCTTTATCCAGGTTGCTAATTATAGTGTGGTATATACAATATAATATATTTTATTATAGTGACATGTGCATACATCAAAATTACATACGTGTTCAATGTTTCACATATTATTTTAGCACCCGACCCAAAGGGTCTATAGGTCACTTTAACTTAAATTTACCTTCAAAATATCACTTGCGTTATTGGTTAAATAACAATTAAATTATATATATACTTGTAGAATGAGACAAAATCTTTAATTTTTACGAAATAATACATTTTTTCTTTTATCAAATATTTTCGACAGATATTTTGCTGTTTGTCTGGGAAAGTCATTTACTAATATTTTAAACAGTTCGATGTTTGATTGATGTTGAAAGGTTATACCAGTGTTAAGGAGTAGGTCATTTCTCTCATTATCATACAGTGAACAGTTTAACAGAAAATGTGTTTCGTCCTCCACCGCTCCAGAGTTGCTGCACAAAGTACATACACGGTCATTTACAGGTTCATTTTTATACCGTTCAGTCTCCACTCGCAATGGGAGTACACCACACCTTAATTGTGCCATGATTGATCTCTCGGATTTTGCAAGGTTTATTGACACATAGTTCTCTACATGGTAAGCGGTTTTAATTAATATAAAGTTCCTTAGTTTTGGTACAAATTTTACTTTATCTGACCACTCATCTTGATTTGTGTACCAGTGCACGTTTTACGTCCTCAATGTTACAATGTTGAAGATTGTCAAAGCAATATTCCATATTTACATATTCTAGCACTCGCTGCACGTCGCGGAACCATGATTTTTCCTTTTTTGAACGTTTATCCTACATAAACACTTTTTTGCATACCCGGGAATCGTCCATTCGTATGAGTCTGTTCCATAGACGTATAATGTTAAGCCATCTCCCGTGTTGTCTGATAAGCCATCCAGTTTCTCCATTTACGGCCAAATTTGGTGTAAATCTAATCGCGCGATTTTGGATGGTGTCGATACAAGGATGCGGTCGATATCCCCAAACTCCAGAACAATAATCCAATACTGGTTCAACACAGGAAGAATACAATTTTTCAAACGTTTTAAAACCAATGGATTTATTATGATACACCTTAGATATAACACCACCTAATGCCCGTCCGCCCGCTTTCGCTAACAGTTCAGCTGTATGTGAAAAACTATTACATTCGTTGAAAAGCACACCCAAATATTTGTACGGACTTGAGTATTCCAATGCATGTTCTCCAATTTTAAAATTAGAACTACTTCGCGCCCTACGGTTGTTTTTAAAATGTACCACTTTGGATTTCCCCGGATTCACACGAAGCCTACATTTTAGAAACCAGTTATCCAAATGATCCAGCACACATTGCATATCAGTTTCATTTTCAGCAAGGAGTGCTATAACGTCTGCATACAGTAAAATGTTTACCTTATCATTTCCAATAAACACTCCCTTACCAAGCTGGTTGATTTCGACGGCCAAGTCATTAATAAATAAAGCAAACATTGTCGGAGATAATTTATCGCCTTGTTTTACCCCGATATCACTGGAGAATCAATCAGTTAATGAGTTTCCGAGTCGTACACACGCCTCCGTATCCGTATATAGTGTTTTAATAACGTTGTACATTTTTCCATTTATTCCATTTGTGATAAGTTTATACATTAGTAGATATCTGTCAACACAGTCAAATGCTTTTTGTAGGTACACAAATGTTACAAATGTTGTAGGTTTATTAGAGACGATTGAATTGAGAGTATGCACGTGGTCGAGACTCGATCTATTTTTACGGAACCATTTTGTTCGTCAACGAGCAAGTCATTGGCACAATCCTGTTATTGATGAACGCAGTGTATAACTTAGAAACAACAGAGAGTAGGCTTATCCCTCGGAAGTTTAGTGGTACCCGCGGATCTAACGATTTATCTTTAGGAATTGGACATATGATTGCTTTTCTCCAAATTGATGGGATGTAACCAGAGTCAAAAAACAGTTGGAACAAATTGTGTAAAACAGTAGTTATGGCGGGAAACTTCAAAACCTCCGGCGATTTTCCCGTTTTCGCGTGGTTTATCACCTTTTCGATTTCGTCGATTTGTATTACATGGTTTAACGTGGTATTGGAGTCGTATAAAGGGTCCAACATGTCCTCTACTAAAAACTTGAAAAAAACTAGAAAATTTGTCGTATCACATCGTCATAAAATACATCACTGACTTCGTCTGAATTCGGATTTTTATTTAATAATCCTGAAAATTCGTCTTTCCACTGAGACATTACTTCCTCTCTATTTGTAACTATATTACCGTCATCGTCGTATACTACCATCGGTATTGCAGTTTTGCGTGGAGGACGACTTTTTTAAGGCTGTTCGAGA